TCTGAATGGACACTGAAGCATCATTTTCAGAAGGGCCTCTTGGAAGGAAGGAAGAGAGGGAAGAAAGGTGGAAGGAGAGAAAAAAGGGAAAAATTTATTCAGTCAACAAATATCTAAGGTGACATTACATACACAGTCCTGTTCTAGGCTCCAGAAATACAGCAGTGAATAAAACAAACAAAATCCCATGCACTCCAGTGAGAGAGTATAGACAATAAAGCCAATTTTTAAAAATAAGTAGTATGTGGTGATAGCAAAGCAAGGGAGGAGTTGGAAGGGATATTGATGTTCAACTTTAAATTGAAGGGACAGAGAAGACTCTCTCAGAAGGTGACATCTAGATACAAACCCTAAGGTGCTGAGGAGTGAACCACACAGATACCTGAGAAAATCATGTTTCAGGCAGAGAAATTCATGTGCAAAGGTCCTGAGGCAGGAGTGGGCCTGGCCTTTCTGAGGAATAGTAAGACAGCCAGTGTGGCTGAAGGAAAGTGGGGAAGGAGGAAAGGAGAAAATAATGGGTTTGGAGAATTTAAGGGCCTGTGGGTCACTTTGACTTTGACTTTAGTATGGTGGGAGCCACTGAGGGCCCTGAACATAGGAGTGGCATAATCAGTCTCAGGTTTTCAAGGATTGCTCTGGAAGCTGTGTTGAGAATAGGCCAGAGGAGGGCAACAGTGGAAACAGGGAGATGGGTTAGGAAGCCCTTGCAGTGGTCCAGGTGAGAGATAAGATTCACTCAGGCCAGGGTGACGGAGGTGGAGAGAAGTGCTCAGATTCTGGATGTCTTCTGAAGATACAGCCAATGGCATTTGCTCTGATTGGCTGTAAGATGTGAGAGAAAAAGCAGCCAGGGATAATGCCAAGGTTTTTAGCCTGAGCAATTAGATGTTACAGTTGCCATTTGCCTCTATGGGGAAGACTGGGAGTGCAGTTGGGATTTACTAAGTTTGAGAATCTAATAGGCAACCAGTGGTGCTATCAAGTAGGCAGCTGAATATTCTAATATGGTATTTAGGAAAAATTAGGGCTGGAGACATAAATTTGGTTTCTAAAACATGACACTGGATGAGATATTTAAAAAAGGGAGTGAGTGTAGATAGAGAAGTGCAAGAGAAAATCCCAGGGTACTCCAAGATTAAGGTATCAGGGAAAGGAGGAAGAACGAGCAAATGAGACTGAGAAGGAACAGCCAATGAAGAAGGAGAAACACCAAGACAGTGTGATGTCCTGGTAACCAAGGAAATAAAGTGTTCTAAGGATGAGAGAGGGGTCAGGAGGGCCAAATGCTTCTGACAGGTTGAGCTGAGGCTGAGAGATGATTTCGGATTTAATACAATGTCACTGGTGTCCTTGACAAGTACAGTTTCAGTGGACTGATGGGGATTAAAGCCTGATTGGAGTAGATTGAAGAGAGATAGGGAAGAGAGAAATTAGAGGTGGCAGGTATAGGCAACTCTTTTAAAGAACTTTGCAGTAAAGGGAAGCAGAGGGATGGGGCAGAGCTGGAGATGAATATGATGGGAGAAGTTAGAGCATGTTTGTATGTTGATGGGAATGATCTAGTAGAAAAGGGGAAATGAAACGATGAGAAAAGATATAGTCAATTTTCAATTGCACAAGAAAATAGAAGGAAACGGTGTGAGCTATTTGATGGGTTTACCTAAAAAGAGCTTTATGTAAAGTTTAAAACAGATTTTTAAAAGCTCATGTAAGTTCTGAAACATAATGAACACCCATGAACCCCCCATCCACCCCAAGAGCTAAACCACCGCCAATCACACCTACGTGCTCCTCCCTCGCCTAGCCCTTGCCTTTCTCTTAGAAGAAAGCAACTTTCCTGAATTTTGTTATTATCATTTCCTTGTAAAGTCATATTTTCTTCACTATATCCTATTATATTTATTGACTGATAGATTAAGGATAATTTCACCTCTGCCTCTCAACCTGGCCTTCTACAGACAGACTTCAAACCACCTCAGTCAGACAGCATCACAAAATTCCTCTCTTACATTTAACCTGACACACCAAAATTCCGTTTTTTCATCTTCGACTTCAACTCCTACTGCTTTGCCTCAAAAATCCTTTCATCTGCACAAAGATCATTACTATTCATTCCTATCTGTATTATTTATGCCCCATGAAAGCAGGAAGAGACCAATACACTTTCTTCCCAAGTGTATACTCAGAACAGACTCCAGTGGCCAGAGCACTCTTGTTATCCTGGATGATGTGCCTGCACCTGCAGCCCTCAAACCTCCAGCCTCCCAGCGCATCCTAAGGCATGCTCCCGCTTGGTCAGGTGCCCATACCAAATCCTGGCGGTCCCCTCCATAGAGGTCTCAGGGAGACAGGAGATGGCCCAGATCTTGCCTGTGGACAAGTGGTCATCCCCAAGTCATCCAGGATTTCTGGGTGTGCAAGGACCTCCAGGATTTTGACAAATGCCAGCAGAGTGGGCCCTTTATAAATGGATGGCAGCAGGCTGTGAAAAGCCCTCTGCATACATAAACCAAACTCCGGTTCCCCAACTTGCTCACTGATGCTTGAAATTGCTTTAAGAAGAGACAACGGCTTTCATTTCACAACTAGAGAAAGCTTTGAAGGCCCTGGGTGAACTAACTCATTGATTTAGACTAATACACACTACTGTATGAATAGACTGAAGAATTGGATGATGCAATGGACACCTTAAAAATAGGTATGAAGTGACAAGGGGTGCAGCAGAGAAAAATGCTTTTCTTTCCTTCTTTGGTGTTTAAAAAAGAACAATCTTGAAATCAGAAGACCTGGAGTCAAATTTGGCCCTACTGCCAGCCAACTTGACCATAGACAAGTTACTCAAAGTCTTCAGCCTGTTTGGTATTTCTAAAATGAAGATAATACCTACCTTCAGAGTTACTGTAAAACTTTGATGCCATCATATCTGTAAAGTTTCCCTAGCACAATGACCACATGGGGAATATTTTCTAACTTTTCCTGTGGTCCCCAGACATC